TTGCCCAGGATCACGTAGCTGGTAAATGTCTGAGGCCAGGTTTGAACTCCAGTCTTCCTGACTCCAGGGCCATCACTTTATGCACTGGGCCACCTAGCTTCCTAGTTTCAGCCCTGTCCCAGACTATGGGACCAATCCTACCACTGGATGGGAAAATGGCATCTTAGACTAATAGATAAGGGCTTCAGCCTTGCTATTTACTGCTCCTTCTCTGGCTTGGTTCTAGTAAACACTGGTTTTTGCCTTACTCTTTGGAATCAACTTCTGCCTCTTACCCCTGAGTTCCAGTAACTGCCCCTACCTCGTTTCTCTCCTTTATATACCAATTCCTCTAAGACTAAAGCCATGCCTCTCCCCTACCCCTGACCTTAGAAAGTATTAGGATACAGTCTCTAAACTCCTGCTACCTGCTGCTGGGTCTTCTTAGTCCAACAGAGGATCTTTTGTCTCCTTACTGTTGACAAGCCTAGACACCCTCCTACTTCCTGATACTGCTTTGATGCCCCACCTCCTCCCCTCATGTCCTCTCTGCCACTATACATCTGTCAGACCTCTAGGTCCTGCCCATCCCATTTGACCTATATGTCCTCTCATTAAATGCTGCTTTTGTGCCAGGGTGACCCCAAAAGTCCAGGTGAAAAAATGGATTCAACAGAACCATAAGGAGGTAATTTTCCTGCTTTATGCTATTGTATCTTTCTTCACCATAACTAACCTTTACCTTAGGTGTTTGTAATTTGGCAGTTCATGGATCCCTGAGAGTGTGATGAAAACCTTTTCTTCCTGGGTATGGTAACAGGTGTTGAGCTAAGAAGACTTACTAATTATTTGCTACTTCCATGCCATGACAATTTCTGTGTTTAAATACATTGTGTTCACATTCATCAAGAGTTGTTACTGTGTGTCTCTTAGGATTATATGATTTAGAGCTGGAAGAGGCCTTAGACATCATCTACTTTCATCCTCTCATTTTACAGATGAGTAAACTGAGGTTCAGAGAGATGAAAAGACTTGTCCCAAGGTCCAACAAATGGTGCAGCAGCAGAGTCAGGATATAAACCCATGCCTTCTGTCTTTAAATCCAGCAGGCTTTCCCACTACATCAGGGTACCACCACCTTATATTTCAATAATGTTTTACCAATTTTCACTGTTTCCCCATACATTAGCTCATTTAGTCATTCATAGGATCATACATTTACAGGTGGAAGAAGACTCAGAAAAAATTAGTACAAGCCCCTCATTTTACAAAGGAGGAAACTGAGGTCCACCAGAGGTCAAGTGACTAGTCATATGGGTGATATGTGTCAGATTTTTTGTTGGGTCATTTTTCAGTCATGTCCAACTCTCCATGACTCCATTTGGGGTTTTCTTGGCAAAGATACTGGAGTGGTTTACCATTTCCTTCTCCATCTTATTTTACAGATGAAGAAACTGAGGCAAACAGGGTTAAGTGACTTACCCAAGGTCACACAGCTAGTTAGTGTCTTATGTCAGATTTGAACTCAGGAAGACTCATCTTCCTGATTCCAAACCAGGCACTTTATCCACTGGGCCACCTAAATGGCCCAGAGATCCTACTGCTATATATATACCAAAATATTCATAGCACCGCTTTCTGCGGGGACAAAGAACTGGAAACAAAGTAGTTGGACTTGCAAACTTGGATTTGGTTGATGTGTTACTTAGTTTTTCTGAACTGGTTTTTTTCTCTTTCTTTTTTTTGTTCTTTTTTTCTCCTTCCTTCCTTCCTTTCTTTTTCTTTCATTCTTTCTTTCCTTCTTTCCTTCTTTCTTTGTCATAAGAGATGGCTTTCTGGGAATGGAATGGATATGAGAAATAAGGGTGATGTAAAAACAAAATATATCAAAATAATTTAAAAAAAATAGATGCTCGTTATTGGGAAATGGCTAAACAAATTATTGCATGTGAATGCAATGGAATATCATACCATAAGAAATATATTGAAAGAAAAATTTAAAGAATTCAGAAATTTGGGAAGACATGAAATGATTCAGAATAAAATAACCAGAGTCAGGAAAACAATATACATAGTAACTAGAACAGTGTAAACAGCAGGGCAGCTGGGTGGCATGGTGGATAGAGCACTGGCCCTGTAGTCGGGAGGACCTGGGTTCGGATCCAGCCTCAGACACATGGCACTTACTGGCTGTGTGACCCTGGGCAGGTCACTTAACCCCAATTGCCTCACCAAAAAACAAAATAAGAACAGTATAAACAGAAAGTATTAAAAAATGAAACTGAGTGTTATAAAATTATAATAACCAATCTTGGCCCCTGAGAAGAACCAAGCAAAGTCTGGTCCTTTCCTTCTTTGGAGAGGTGGAGGACCATGGATGTGGAATATATCATACACTATCAGATTTGGCTAATGTATTGGTTGATTTTATTGAAGTGCTTCACTCTCCCGCCCCCCCTTTCCTTTAAGTGATATAAAAAACAGAAAGCATCAATGAAATTAATTTTTAAAAATTCTTAAAGATTAAAAAGATAAAATGTTTACCCTTAAAACATGGGTACTGATAGCAAAAGTATACATGCTACAGAAAATGCCACATTATGGAATACTATTGTGCTATAAGAAATGATGAACAGGCTGACTTCAGAAAAACCTGGAAAGACTTGTATGGACTGACGGCTGAGTAAAGTGAGCAGAACCAAGAGAACGTTGTACAGAATGACAGCCACGTTGCGTGATGACTAATATTGATAAACTTAACCCTTCCTGGCAATACAAGGGTCTAAGACATCTCCAGAGGCCATGTGATGGAAAATGCTATCCACACCCAAAGAAAGAACTATGAAAGCCAAATTGCTAATTTTTTTCTCTTCTGTTGAGTTTTGTTTCCTCTTTCTGATAGTTCCTCCTATTGGTTTTAATTTCTACTTACAACATCACTAATGTGAAAATATGTTTAATATGAATGTAAATGTATAGCCTATATCAGATTGTGTGCCATCTTGGGGAGGGTGGTGGGGAGGAAGGGGGAGAAAAATTTTAAACTCAAAAGCATATGGAAGTGATTATTGATAAATCAAAATAAATTAATAAAAAAATGCCACACTATAGTTGTGGAAGTATATGAAGCACCTCTTTTTTAGTTCAAATGAAGATATTAAGAATTTAATATTTCTCTAGTCTAAAAGTTTTTTCAAGACTTTTCCTTGTTTGAAAGTGTAGAAGTCCAAGAAGAGAAGGCCTTTCTTAGAGAAATAGCTTAAGGTCCATAATCTGTGTTAATTCTTATCTAGTTGGGATCATTGCCTCCCTACAACCATGAAGTGATTGGCCCATCTAAGAGCAGTATCCTTTTTTGCATTCAAGGTTATGATATGGATCAGAAGAAAGAAGCCCTTTCAGCCCTCGAGGGGAGTGGTCAAGGGTGAAATTGAGTAGTGACTGTTCTAGAATGTTAACCCCAAACTGTATTTTAACATTGTATTATGATTTCCTTGTTTAAGATTTTTATCAATGTTACCTCAAATCATCTCAGGGTAGAGACAGAGGGGAGTTTCTAAACTCGAAATTGCTTGGCTATAGAATAATGATAAATAAGACTGTTTCTTGTATCAAAAATGAGAAATGCGGTAATTATATATCTACATCTCTCTATCTATATGCATATAATATATTTTTCTTTGATATAGTCTAACTGTCTGGAGGACGTCACATTATTGGAACAATGGCTAAGAAGGAATAGAGAGATGGTATGATATTGTGGAAACAGCACTAGCTTTGTAGTCAAAGGACACGGACTTAAATACCAGCTTTGCTACTTATTACCCATGTGACATTGGACAGGTTATCTAAAATCTCTGATTTTACACAGTTTCTTAATCTGTAAAATGAAGGTTGTGTCCCAGATGATCTCTTTCCAATCCCTGTAGACAATCCAAGGGGTCCCAAGAGCCATTCGTTCAACCAACATGCTAGTACAAGTACAGTACAACGCACTGAGGAAAGACCATTCTTCCTGACATCAAGGATCTGTAAATTTGTTGGTCTGGCCTTCCCTTCACAGATTCAGATTGCAACCTTTGTACCGTATTTGAGAGTTGCCACACTGAAGATTTGTTCCCCTGTAGCCAGCTTGGCAATGAGTCTCTCTGGCACATCACTAGCGAAGTTGTTCTTCAGATGACTAGTATAAAGCTGATCATGGGTTATGTTTTTCCAGCCTCATAGGAAGTGCTAGAGTTTTCTCTAAGCTGTCATAACCTGCAAGAACCCAGGGATCCCTCCTGGCCATGATTAAGCACTAAAAACTGGAAGAGATACAAATATCAATAACATAGAGATATGGACCCTCAAAGTCCACCACAGAGTAGTTGGATAGTCCTTATACCAGAAGAGCCATCCATGAGATTTCTCAACTGGCTGCTGTCCTTTTACCAACATTTCAGGCATGAAGTATAGCCCATACAAAGGTCTAGAGATGGGAGGTGGAGTCTTGTGTATATAGAACAGCCAGAAGGCTGGTTTGCCTGGACCATAGAGTGCACTCTATGAGGAGGAATGAAGGGGAGTAATTACATAATAAGGCTGGAAAGGTAGATCAGAGTCAAGGTTGTTTAAAGACCAAACGGAGGAGTTTGTATTTGACCCTAGAAGAAACAGAGATATTAGCGAGGGAGTCTCACTTACAGAAAACAAACAATTTTTCCTATCGCATAGGCAGAGTCCAAAAGTACGAAGTATTCAGTCCTAGTATAGCACGAAGGACTTTGTAGACAACATTTCAGATAAGTCATTTCTTCCGGGAAACATTGCCAAATATAGTTATTTATTAATTTTTGTGCAGTTAACCACAGTGGAGATCAATGATGAACAACTGGGGAGTTTTTGTCAAGACTTCCGGGTGTTACGGCAGCTTGGAAGGGAAGGTCTCAATTCTGTTGCCAGGAAGCTCTTTTTGATGGGCAGGGCTCCAAGAACATCCAACCAATTATAACTAGGAATTACCTAAAAAAGGCCAAAGACTCACTTCCTGTTGAAGTGAATGAACGTCACTTCTTCAGGGGAAAGGCTGCTGCTCAGCAAACAGCTCTAAGATGAAGACTCCCCAGAGCTTTGAGGAGCAAACCGAACGCATTGTAGAATCACTGCTCTTTGAATTCTTGGGTCCACCAGTGGTGAGACAAGGCCGCAGCTTCCATGGTAATGATGTCCTATTTGAGTTCCAAGGACCCAGCTTCCAAAATGTTGACGTCCCTGATTTTGGTAAGGCTTCCTGAGTGAGTAAGTAATGGCTATGGCTCTACACTATAGGAACTGGACCTACTCCGTAAGGAAACTTTCTACTAAAGCAGACCAGCACCACATCAGCAATTTACAGCCTTAGAGAATGGCCTGGGGCACTGAGAGATTAACTGACTCACCCTGGGTTGCACAGCCACTATGTGCCAGGGGTGGGACAGGGATGGCAATGGTCTTCCTTTCTCCAAAGACAGCTCTCTGTCCACTAGACACATCCCTCTTGGTTATCTCCTTTTAGGTCTTCAGCATTGTCTTTTTTCCCCTTTTTATTAGGAAGTTTTGTTGTTTAGTTATGTCCAACTCTTTGTGACCCCGTTTGTGGTTTTCTTAGTAAAGATACTGGAGTGGTTTCCCAATTCCTTCTCCAGCTTCTTTTACAGATAAGGAAACTAGGCAAACTAGGTTAAGTGACTTACCCAGGGTCACAGGGCTAGTAAGTAATTGAGGCCAGATTTGAACTTGAATGATTCTCCCTGACTCCAGGCCTGGTACTATATCCATTGCACCACCTAGCTGTCCTATTAGGCAACAGAAAATTCTGGCTGGTGGCCTATTTTTACTTTTTTTTTTTTTTCACATTAGGCAGTTTACAAAAAGGAAAAATAGGCCACCAGCCAGCCAGCATTTTCTTTTTGTCGTTGGCCAAAGTTTAGGTGGGTTTTGCAAATTAAGAGGGTTAAATTTGTTTCTCCTTTGTGATAGGAGACACACCATGGTAATTCAGTGAAGAGATTCTCTGTTGGTGGTGACAGACCACGCCAGTGAAATTATGAGGGGGAATCCATGAGGGAAGAGTACTGAAATTATTTAAAACTATGAGGGTACTTACCCATTCCCTTTGGGCACTCCCTGAAGGATGATTGTGTTTCCTTTGTCTTAGGTGAGCCAAGCTCTTTTGATGCGACAATCATTGCTGCCCGTCTTAGAATGCTAGGTGATCAGTTCAATGGAGAAATGGAACAATCTGCCAACAGAGTCATCGAAGAAGTTACTAAGGGACAGGTTAGGTTTCTAATCCTTGCCTACTATTCACCCCTTTGTTTTATTATAGCAATTCAAGGGAGAAAAAGTGAGGCCCCAAACCCAGTCAATCCCTGCTCTAAAAGCTCTGAAGCTGGGAATATGCTTAAATTAGCCCAAAGCATTATAAGATTTCAAAGCTGGAAAGGACCTCAGAGGCCATCTAAATCACCCCTCCGTGGGGTGATGTTATTCCCTCCTTGGTTCTTAAGTTCAAGTAATTCAAGGAGAATTTTCAGTTGTTGCCAGCCGTGTAGGGGCCAACCGCAGACTGAGCTGGAAGGACGGCGCTGCCCTGTCAAAGAACACTTCACAGACATGCTTTAGGATGCCCAATGTATACTATTTTGTTGTTCTTAGTGGCATGTTTGGTGGCTGGTGGCAGAGGGCATGGTGAAGTGACTAGAAATCTTGCCATGTGGGGATTAACTGAAGGAAGTGAGGATGAAAAGATGTAGTAGAGAAGAACTAGATGTTTGAAGGATTATTCTATGGAAGAGACTTGTTCTAATTGGCTAGAGAAGACTGAGCTAGGACCTGCAAGTAGAAGAGCTAACACTTATGACACCCCTTTTGGGTGCAAAGTGCTTTAAAAAAAACAGACCCAAACCTCTGTTTCAGAGGCATTCTGCGTGACAATTCAGTTTTGTTTTGTTTTGTTTCTTTAAAAGGAAGGATACCTTTTCTTTTCTCTATAGTTATGGAATCAGTACAAAAGGAGGATCAATTTCAGATAAACTAGTAATGTAGTAAAGATCCCTGAAGCCATATTCACTCATATATCAGTATACTAGTTGGAGTCAGGAGATGAGATTTCTCATACTATAACCATGCATTGTTTCTTGCCCAATAGGGCAATGTCAATATTTCCTTGAAGATGCTGAAGGCAGGGCTTGGAGAACCCAGCTACTATAGTCAATCTCTGCCCAACTCGGTATTGGAAGTATTGTCTCAGCCCCCTTCCAGAAGCAGCAGGTCCATTAATCTGGATGCCTGCCCTCTGTTCAATGGTCTCCTGGATTTTTCACTAACATATCCTGTGTCTTGACGACACCTTGCCTCTACAACTTAACTTTCTACCTCGCAGCCTCATCACTCAACTGAAAGTGGTTTCTCCAAAGTTACCAGTGACCTCTCAATTGCCAGATCTGATAGTGACTTTTTCTTAGTCCCCATTCTTGTTTATCTCTCTCTGGTATTAGACACTGCTGACCACTCTCTCCTCAACTTGGATATTTTCTCCTTTCTGGGTTTTTGTGACACCACTTTCTTTTGGTTTTCTTCAGTCTCCTTTGCTGGATCATCATTTGTATGCCTCTCCCTAACTGTGAATGTCTCCCACAGCACTGTCCTAGGACCTCTTCTCTTCTCTGCTCAGTTTTCTCTCTTTTGGTGACCTCATTAGCATCTCTATGCAGATGACTCCCACATCTCTGTATCCAACCCTACTTTCTCTCCCAAACTCCAATCCCACATTACCAACTGCCTGTTGGACACACCCAGCTTCATATCCTTTTGGCATCTTAAAATAGACATGTCCAAACCAGAATACATTATGTGAATTATTACTAAATTCACCCCTCTTCCAAACTTCCTTATTTCTGTCAAGAGCAACACTCACTTTCCAGTCACTTACATTTGAAACTGAGGGGTCATCTTTGACTCCTTCCTCTGTTTAAGTATCCAATCAAATGGTAAGTCTTGTTAATTGACCTCCACCAGATCTCTCCCATCTTCTTCTTTTCTCCACTTAAATGAAAGCAACCCTCATTTAAGCCCCTATCATCTCTCTCCTAGACTATTGCAATAACCTCTTAACTGGTCTCTCTGCCTTCAGGTTTTTGCCCCACTCTAATTCACCTTTCACACAGCTGCCAAAATGATTTTCCTAAAGCACAGATACTACAATATCACTCCCTTGCCGAATAGACTTTTTTAGCTCCCCAAACCACCTTTCCATCCTGAGCATACACTCCTCCTCACGCATTTACCAGTCTAGCCAAAGTGGCCTTCTTGTGGGATTCCTCACAATACTCCACCTCCCACCTCTGTACTTCGCACTGTCTCATGTGCCTCAGTGTTCTTCTTTGTTACCTCCATTTCTTAGAATGCCTAGTTTCATTCAAACCTCAGTTCTCACATGAAATGTTTCTTTCTTTTTTAAATTATTTTTTAGTTTTCAACATTCACTTCCACAAGATTTTGAGTTCCAAATTTTCTCCCCATCTCTTCCCTGTCCCACCCCAAGATGATGTGCATTCTAAATACCCCTTTCCTCAATCTGCCCTCCCTTCTATCACCACCCCCCCCTTCACTTATTCCCTTCCTTTTCTATTTTCCTGCAGGGCAGGATAGATTTCTATACCCCTTTGCCTGTATATCTTATTTCCCAGTTGCATGTGAAAACAATTTTAAACATTCATTTTCAAAACTTTGAGGTCCAAATTTTCTCCCTTCCTCCCTCTCCACACCCCCTCATTGAGAAGGTAAGCAATTTGATATAGATTATACATGTGTAGTCATGCAAAACACTTCCATAATAGTCATGTTATGAAAGACTAACTATATTTCTTTCTTTCTTTCTTTTTTTTTTTTTGCTTAGGCAGTTGGGGTTAAGTGACTTGCCCAGGGTCACATAGCTAGTAAGTGTCAAGTGTTTGGTCTGAGGCTGGATTTGAACTCAGGTACTCCTGACTTCAGGGCTGGTGCTCTATCTACTGCGCCACCTAGCTGCCCCAAGACTAACTATATTTCTCTTCATGCTACCTCGCCCCTCATTTATTCTATTCTCTCCTTTGACCCTGTCCCTTCCCAAAAGTGTTTGCTTTTGATTACTCCCTCCCTCAATCTGCCCTCCCTTCTATCACTCCCCCATTATCCCCTTCCCCCTATTTTCTTGTAGTATAAGATAGCTTTTCACACACAATTGAATATGTATGTTATTCCCTCCTTAAGCCAAATCCGATGAGAGTAAGATTCACTCATTCACTCTGACCTTCCCCCTCTTCCCCTCCACTGTAAAAGCTTTTTCTTCCCTCTTTTATGTGAGCTAATTTACCCCATTCTACCTCTCCCTTTCTTCTTCTCCCAGTATAATCCTCTTTCACCCCTTAATTTTATTTTTTAAACATTATCCCTTCATATTCAACTCACCCTGTTCTGTCTGTCTATATACATTCCCTCCAACTATCCTAGTGCTGAGAAAGGTTTCATGAGTTACAAATATCATCTTTCCATGTAGGAATGTAAACAGTTCAACTTTAATAAGTCCCTTATGATTTCTCTTTCCTGTTTACCTTTTCATGCTTCTCTTGAGTCTTGTATTTGAAAGTCAAATTTTCTATTCAGCTCTGGTCTTTTCATCAAGAATGCTTGAAAGTCTTCTATTTCACTGAATATACATTTTTCCCCCTGAAAGATTACACTCAGTTTTGCTGGATAGGTGATCTTGGTTTTAATCCTAGCTCCTTTGACCTCCGAAATATCATATTCCAAGACCTCTGATCCCTTAATGTAAAAGTTGCTAAATCTTATGTAATCTTGATTGTATTTCCATAATACTTGAATTGTTTCTTTCTGGCTGCTTGCAATATTTTCTCCTTGACCTGGGAACTCTGAAATGTGGCTATAATATTCCTAGGAATTTTCCTTTGGGGATCTCTTTCAGGAGGTGATCAGTAGATTCTTTCAATTTCTATTTTACCCTCTGTTCTAGAATATCAGGGCAGTTTTCCTTGATAATTTCTTGAAAGATGGTGTCTAGGCTCTTTTTTTGATCATGGCTTTCAGATAATCCAACAATTTCATCTCTCCTGGATCTATTTTCCAGATTAGTTGTTTTTTCAATGAAATATTTCACATTGTCTTCTATTTTTTCATTCTTTTGGTTTTGTTTATAGTTTCTTGATTTCTCACAGTCATTAGTTTCCATTTGCTTCATTTTAATTTTTAAGGAATTATTTTCAGGGCAGCTAGATGGTGCAGTGGATAGAGCACTGGCCCTAGAGTCAGGAGGACCTGAGTTCAAATCTGGCCTCAGATACATGATACTCACTAGCTGTGTAACCCTGGGCAAGTCACTTAACCCTGAATGCCTCACAAAAAAAAAGAAAAAGAAAAAAAGAAAGAAAAAAAGGAACTATTTTCTTCAGTGACCTTTTTGGACTTCCTTTTCCATTTGGCCAATTCTGCCTTTTTTTTTTTTTTTTAATTGGTGAGGCAATTGCCCAGAGTCACACAGCTAGTGAGTGTTATGTGTCTAAGGCTGGATTTGAACTCAGGTCCTCCTGATTAGGGCCAGTGCTCTATCCACTGTGCCACCTAACTGCCCCATAAATGCACTTTTTTTTTTTTTTTTTGGTGAGGGCAATTGAGGTTAAGTAACTTGCCTAGGTTCACAAAGCTAGTGTCAAGTGTCTGAGGCTGGATTTGAACCCAGGTCTTCTTGACTCCAGGGCCAGTGCTCTATCCACTGTGCCACCTAGCTGCCCCTCCCCCCCATTCTGCTTTTTAAGGCATTCTTCTCTTCATTGACTTTTTACACCTCTTTTGCCATTTGGGTTAGTCTATTTTTTAAGGTGTTATTTTCTTCAGTATTTTTTTGGGTCTCCTTTAGCAAGCCAGTGACTCATTTTTCATGATTTTCTTGTATCACTCTCATTTCTCTTTCCAATTTTTCCTCTACTTCTGTTTTTACTTTTTTTTTTTTTTTTTGCTGAGGCAATGGGGTGAAGTGACTTGCCCAGGGTCACACAGCTAGTGCGTATCATGTATCTGAGGCCAGATTTGAACTCAGGAATTCCTGAATCTGGGGCTGGTATTCTATCCACTGCACCACCTAGCTGGCCCTCCTCTACTTTTCTTATTTGATTTTCAAAATCCTTTTTGAGCTCTTCCATGGCCTGGGACCAAGTCAAATTTTTCTTGGAGGCCTTGGATGTAGGAGCTTTGGCTTTGTTGTCTTCTGGTTGTGTGTTTTGATATTCTTTGTCACCAAAGTAAGATTCTATGGTCTGAGTTTTTTGCCTCTGTTTGCTCTTGTTACCAGTCAATCACTTAATTTTTAACTCTTTGTTAAGGTAGGGGTTTGCTTCCAGTGTGGAGGGTGTACTGTTCCAAGCTTCAGGGGTTTTGTGCAACTGTTTTCAGAGATACTTCTAGGAACTTGTAAATTTTCTTTCTTCCAAGGTGGTGTGATCAAAGGAGAGGTGTTTACTCCTTTCCTGGCCTGTGCTCTGGTCTATGAGGGACTACAAGCACTCTTTTCTGCCTTGGAAATGTGAGGAGGATTCCCTCTCCACCACCCAAGTTCCACCACACCAGCACTCCTCCTTGCCCCAGGACCGCCACCTAGTACTGTGACTCAGATCCAAGCACAGGCAAAGCAAGAAAATTCTGCCTCAATGCCAGTAAAGAGATCCCTACAATCCTCCTTTGATCAGCCATTTGATATCCCCACCGTCTTGGGCTGAGAGCTCCCGAAGCAGCCGCTGCCCCAAGATACGCTAGACCAGGTCTGGACCATACTCCTCTCTTACTGACCTTTAGATAATCAACATGTAGAAAGGAAATTAAGAATTCACTATAGAGGTAGAAATAGGGAGCTGGCCTTGGAGAGCTGAATTCAGGCCTTTCCCACTGACCTTCTAAGTTGTCTTTGGTATTTGTGGGTTGAGAAATCTGGAAACCACCACAGCTCCCTGTGATTTAGTCCCCTGAGATTTGTTCCTCTGGCCCTGTCTTTGATTGCGTGACCCACACTGAACTGCACTCCTCTCCCAGCCTGGCACAACAGACCTTTCCTATCAACCTTCCAGGCTGTCTTTGGCTGGAAATTTGTTTCAGTCTGTCTTTTTGTGGGTTCTGCTGCTCCAGAATTTGTTTAGAATAATTTTTTACAGGTGTTTGGAGGAGTTTGGGGGAGAGCTCAAGCAAGTCACTGCCTTTACTCTGCCTTCTTGACTCCCCCCTCCCCCAATGAAACGTTTCTCGATCACCCCAGCTGCTAGTGCCTTGTTGCCTAATTAGTTTGTATTTATTTTCTTTATGTTATGTATGTACGCATGTATACACACACACACACACCCCTATGCTATCTTCCTATCAGCTGTAAACTTCTTGAGGGCAGGAGTTTAATGTCTGTTTTTGTATCCCTGGTGCCAGTATAGTGTCAGATGCATGGGAGACACCTGATACATACTTACTGATTTATATTTATTTCTTCAGGTAGCTGCTGTATTACAGGACACAGTGAAATCACTCAGTCAGACGTGGTGTGCCCAAGAGCCTAGCCTGGCCTATGAGAGGGCCTTTCTGGCTGTGTCTGTGAAGCTACTGGAGGTTGTCTCCCACAAGATACCTCAGAGGGCCAGGCAGTTAGCTGGACCCATGAGGGATATGATCAATGAGAACATAGCTGTTCGACAGTATATTGAAGGCCAAGGTGGTTGGGTAAGTGCTCTCTCTAACTCTGGTAGCTTTTGTCTTCTGTTTGTACTGATGGCCAGAGGTTCACAATTCTGTCCTCTACCTGGTCACTAATTTCCAGTTTGTGGGATTAGACAGGCCTACTGCTAGCAGCTTAGCCTCTATATGGTTGGCTCCAAATGTTGATGTTTATGACCAGTGGTATGCTAGCAAATGTTTAATGAATCAGCTTTTTGAAAAAAAAAAGTGCATACAGTATACTTTTAAGTTTAATTTGTACTACTAACATTTTCTCTGTTATTTCCTTAAGTCTAGAAATCAACAAACAATAAACTAAGCCCTGATTTATAATGTTTGCTGATTTCCAAGAAGTAAAAGCTCACACTGAAAATTTAATAGTCAGCTCTCTTGAGCTGGTTTGAGTGGCATCCCTATCTGTAAATACATATATACATACATACATACATACATACACACACACACATATGCATGTGCATATACACAGATATATGTCCATATACACATGCATATATACCTACATATATTTATTCATATGTGTATATATGTGTATGTGTATATGTATATATATCTGTATCTATATTTATCAATAACACTCAATTTCATTGGTGTAGAGAATTACTGGGTGAGGAAATGCCTACTATCAATGTAGGTCATCACCTCTGCAATTTATCATCATGGGAAACTGCTTAGAGCATTGAGAGATTACATGACCTGCCCAGAGTCACAGAGCAAGTATGTGTCAGGAGCGAGGCCTGAACTCAGCTCTCTAAGGCCAGCTCCCTATTTCTACCTCTATAGTGAATTCTTAATTTCCTTTCTACATGTGGATTATCTAATTTGTGAATTATGTGTAGCAAAATTTAAATTTCAAGGAGCAGCTAAGTGGCACAGTGGATAGAGCACCGACCCTGAAGTCAGGAGGACCTGAATTCAAATCCGGCCTCAAATCAAACACTTGACACTAGCTGTGTGACCCTGGGCAAGTCACTTAACCCCAATTACCTAAAATAAAATAAAATAAAATTTAAATTTCAGTTTAGTTTCCTCCTATCCTCTAACAAATTCCCTAATCATCTTCCTCCACCAATTGATGTGCTGTTAGGAAGCGCAAACTAATTTGAAGGTAAACCTAAGCAAAACAAAATCCAACACATTTGAAAGGCTAAAAAAGTAATCAGACAGTGCGTAATCCAGCCAAATCTAAAATATTTTTGCATGGTCTTTTCTTTGGGATGACGTGATGCACTGCTCTCCTCTATTAACATAACTTATCAAAGGACCCTTTAAGAGGTATACTTTCCAGAGTTGATCCTAAGCCACTGTGGTGATGGGGCAGGGTGAGATTCCTAAATTTCTCCTTTAACTTTTTCAGGAATGAGATTGTCTGACTTCAGGGTTTTTATTTCCTTTGCAGGAGAATCTGAGACCAGCTCCCAATTAACCATTACCTAAACCTTGACTGGCTGATTGAACATCCTCTGTTTATTAAAAAACAAACAAAAAAATAAAACCAAAAAAAACAAGAAGGAAAGAAAGAAAGAAAAAGTTTATTCGTTCAAGATTCCTGCAGCTATGGAGTTCCTGATACCCGCAGGCATTTTGCAGTCTTTGTTTTTATTTACAAACAGACAAAAATAGATCTTCAAGACTGAAAGGAAGTAATTCCCTTTGGGGCACTGTGCCAACTTGTCAGAGAGACTTTGGGGTAGGGTGATTCTCATATCACACCCTATAGCTAAATGGCTATTTATAAAATCAGCCTTGCCCCTTGATTTGAGCGTGTACACTATTCCACTGGTTATGCATCCAAAAGAACTTCTGGGAAATCTATGGGATGGTACTGCCCCCATTTTAAAAAATTAATTTAGGGTTGGGACTTGCAATTTCATTGATGTGTAGAACTCAAACTGTAACTCTGCCCTCCGTGTACTTTGTGATCCAATGATAGTCATCTCCTTGCTTTTCCTTGAACAAAATATTACATCTCCTGACTTTGTGTATTTTCTTTTTTTAATTAATTTTTCTTTTTTCCAATTAATCTGTCATCACTCCTTCTCTCTCTTCTACCTCCACTGGAAAAAAAAAACAAAAACAAAAAACAAACAATAAATACACATAGCCAAACAAAATATATTTCCACATTGGCCATGCCCCTAAATGAGTGTCTCATTCCATATATCTAGCCCATTATCTTTGTCGGGAGGTAGGTAGCATTCTAAATCACTGGGTCCTCTAGAATTCTGTTTGATATTTGTCATTTATTAAGTCTTTCAAAACTATTCACTTTTACAATAGTGTTCTTATAGTAAAAATTATTCTACTGGTTCCGCTCATTTCATTCTGTGTAAATTCAAAGTGAGGTACAGATGACACCTGTTCTCCTTACCTTTTGGTTGTTTATATAGACTTTTACTTGTGCTACCACCACCCCCCAATTATGGGAGATAATAAGTTTTCCTTTGTTGAATGCAGCTGATTTTGCTCGACTCCAGAGAAGCAAATTGCCTGAGAGCAATCAAAACCAGTTAAAGGTGGACAAGAAGATGAAAACCCGTTTAAAAAAAAAAGAATGTTAAATGCAGACATCAGAAGGGGCTACCTGACTTTGCCCCAACTGACCCCACGATTGGAGCAGGTCCAAATAGGTTTCCTTGCTGCTGCAGCTAGAGCCCAAGTCTGCTGTTGTGACCAGACATCACCCCCTTTTCCCCCCAACCTCCTCCATGCTTCTCTATGGACTTTCAGTTTTTATGCAAACCAACTCATGTAACAGTTTCTCCAGGCTGTGCCTCCTATGAGACGCTCTCCCTGTTGAAATGTGTATTTAACCCTGTCCCACTCTGCTTCTCTTGGGTATTCCAGTACCTGGTGCTGTCTGGTGACCCCAAATTGCAATTCCCTTGCCTCTGTTAATGACCCTAGTTTTTGCAATTTTGGTAGGCTTCTTTAATTTCAGGTTGATGCTCTCATTCCTCTGCTTTTCTTGCCTAGTATATCTTTTTTTTTTTGGCCCTTCCTTTCTTTTTTTTCTTTTAACACCAACCAAACAAGAAGAACCACTTCCAGGCTCTTTGTATTTGACTCTCTCTGTGACCCCTGATGACAACACTGTTGTTAGGAGACACCTGTATCACCTTCCTCCACTGTTACAGTGCAAAGATTTTGTCCTCATTAAGTCTTTTCCAATTGTTCAATTGCATTACCTTTTTGTGTTTCTTTAGTCTTTTCATTGGAAATGCTTAGAAGTTCTCCATTTGATTAAAGGTTCATTTTTTTTTCCTTTTTAGGATTATACTTAATTTTCTTGGCAAGTTATTCTTAGTCATAAGCCTTTATCTTTATTGCCCTTTGGAATATTGCATTTTGTGTTCCTCACTCCTTTATAATCAATGTGATACTGATTATGGTTCCTTGGTCACTATAATTCCTTGAATTCTTTCTTTCTGGCTGCTTGAGGTATTTGTCCTTTGGTCTGGAAACTCTGGATTCTGATCATGATGTTCCTGGGAGTTTTTGAGGTTTCTTTCAGGAAGTGATCCATGGCTTCTTTCTATTTTCACCTTGCCTTCTTATTCTAATTATATCAGGGCACTTTTCTTCCATCATTTCTTGATGGTAAGATGATAAGATATTCATATTCTGTTTTTGGTCATAGCTTTCCAGTAGTCAGATAATTCTTGGACAAATAAGTCCTTCTGTTCTTAATATTATCAGATAGAGACTTCAAACAGGGAAAATAATTTCACTTTCTCTACAATTATCAGTGCAATTTTATATGTAAACCCTAATCCAATTTTTAGAATTTGTTACTTAAATATACTCAAATTCTGTATATCCCATTAGAAACATTTGGAAACCATGTGTGTGTGTGTGTGTGTGTGTGTGTGTGTGTGTGTGTGTGTGTGTACATACAGATATATAGATATCCTAGTTCTTAGAGAAAACAGTCTGATCCTGTGGCTCTCTCAAAATTTACTCCATTTAATTAGAAAACTTTTATATCTTTGTCTTGTTCCCTCGTTTTGAGGATATTGTTCCCCTATCACCCTGAAAGAATGAGACACTTCAAGGATACTTATATATGCATATGCAACTATTAACAAGTGGATGACAAACCCAAGAACTCATTTACTTGGCTGCTTATGATATGGTATCGACTAAAAATTCAGATTAAAAGCAGTAAGATCTCTCGTACTTGCATCCTATTATAGCAACTCAGAGATGTTCACCTACCCTGATTATAGAAATTTGCTATGAAAGAAAAAGGAGGGATGTGGTTATGATGCGATCAAGACTGTCCCCTTAAGGGTACAGACTAACCTGACATTAAGCCATAATAGGGGAAAACCTCCTTTAGCTCTGTTTGTTTTAGGCATGACTCATATTTGCTGCCAATCATGTAGCAAAATTTCACATTATTCACAGGGTTTTGAAAGTCAGTCTCAGAATTAACCAGGTGGGAAAATTTCATGTTCAGAAAGGAAATAGCACAATGGGGAAACTGAGTCAAGAGGATCTTATCTTACTATGCAAAGTTGTCCCCTCAACTTTCCCAGACACAGACACTCACCTATAGCAGTTCTCAGACTTCACTCCCTTTTCGGCAACACAAGGCATTCCCTTTGAATAGTGAATGATTGGCTTTATGACAATTGAGGCAACCCTACCTGAAACAAAAACCTCAAAATAACATCAAATTATAGTCCCAAGAGATTTTATTTCAAATAGCAAAATTTCATTAATCACCACTAGGGCTAGGTTATTATTATTTTTCTCATGTATGCAATAATAGTTAACAATAAGTGAATATAAGGACATTTCATTTATCCTTCATTTGTAAATTAAGAATAATCACATTCTGAAGTTCCACATATACAATAAATCAATGACAGTTGACTTAAAACCCCCAGAAAAATACTGGTTATAGTAAGCCTCCAATCTGTATTGCCTATTCACCCCCAAGTAAGACTGAAATCTTTGAATCTAAGGTCTACTGTTACTAAGTTGGCTCAAAGATGAAACTTCATATATATTTTTACTAATAGATGCAAGTTCATTATTTTCATAAGTGATGGTCAAATAATCTCAGATGAAACTCACTTTTTACTATAAGCAAATTTGTAAGCCTCTGCACTTTGACTGGGAGTGGTCCTAGTTTCTCAAAACTTCAGTACTTCAGAATATTACATCATGTGGTCAGCAGGGATAATAAGGTCTTATGATCCTACCTGAGCAGAAAGTTCCAAGGAACTTCACTGATAAAGATAACTTGAAGAGTACTTTGCTACTCTTTCTCCTAACAGTTATCATTATTGTTATTCAGTTTAAAGCAAAATAAACCCCATTATATATTTAACAGTTTTTCAAACATTTTTAATTCTTTTAACAGCTCAATTCATAATCCAACAGCATCTGGATTAATAAAGAAGTTACTTTTCTTTTTTTTTTTTTTTTTTTTTTGCTTTTTGGTGAGGCAATTGGGGTTAAGTGACTTGCCCAGGGTCACATAGCTAGTAAGTGTCAAGTGTTTGCTCTGAGGCCGAATTTGAACTCAGGTCCTCCTGACTTCAGGGCCAGTGCTCTATCCATTGCACCACCTAGCTGCCCCCTATAATATACCTTTTTTTTTGTTTGTTTTTTGGGTTGGGCAATGGGGGTTAAGTGACTTGTCCAGGGTCACACAGCTAGTAAGTGTTATGTGTCTGAGGCCGGATTTGAACTCAGGTCCTCCTGAATCCAGGGCCACGAAGTTACTTTTCTAACAGTATTTCTGATATAATGTTTCTCAGTTTTCACAATATATGGAAAATTTTAGAAACACAGTAACATCATACATAATGCTATGTATTTAAAACATGAAACAAAACTTATTACCAGTCAAGTGACTTTTGTTTTCTCAACCTAACCTAATCCCATGTATATACTTAAGGGCGGGGGGGGGGGGGGAGAGGGGGAAATAAGGCTTTTTCAGTTGTAACTCTGGGAAGGTCAAAAAGGCCAAGGGCTAGTAGTCAGGAAAAGCTATTTAGTAAAAAAGAAAGAAGATGCTGAAAAATTGAATGCTGCAAACATATTTCTATATTTTCGATATCATAAAGAATAGCCAAATAGTTTCTACAATCCTTATCTGAATGAAATCTAAACCCTCCCTCAAACTTCTTTCCAAAATTTCCAAACCCTTTACTTTCAAGGCTTCTACTTGCAGTCAATGCAGAGTATAACTTTCTTAATGTTCTACCCATTTCCTCTTATCTTTACTTGCTAAAACTTTCTCTTTTTCTTTCTTTATTAAAGCCTTTCAAAACTGCATCTGTCCAGTTTGTTTCATATTCTGATTCAACACTTCTCTTTCTTCTGTTTGCTTAATTCCTCTAGTCTTTATTTCCCAATCATACCCCAGATTATTTATAGAACCTATATATTAGCACATGGTTTTATTATACAAAGCCAGAGACTATTTTTCTAAAGATTTTGAGAGTTCCTCAGAAAAATTTTCTCTCTTTCAACTCTTTTTCCTTTGGCTGATCAGGCCATAGGAAGATGTTAGTTTGATTTACCAAAACACAAAACACAGACAATGTGACAAGACAGACACACAGAAGTTTTTCCTTCTTATCTCCTACTGAAAGTATAATCAAAAAGTCCATGAGAGTAAGTCCCTGCTAGAGATTATTAATAGCTATTACCAATATTATCAATAGCTGTTTTAAAACTCTACCCTTCTTTTCTGATTTTTCCCTAAAAAGTGGTTTCTTAAGAGTGCCATGATTTTTTTTTTTTTTACATTATGCCTCTGTCAAGGCTTTCTTAGAGGTCTATCTTTAGTCATTCCCTTCTGAATGGGAAAGTTTTAAAGTCTTGATTCCATCATGATCACCATAACTGTTATACTGGATTAAAGAAACCAAGTTTTATTAAGACAAATGATTCATGTAGCAAGGCATGCAGTTGCAAAAACAAATTGAGTCTAAGGCTGTCAGTAGCCAAGGAC